TATTTAACAAAGTAGCTATCATTAATATATTGGTTAATAAATACCAAGCTGACGTTAACTTAGTATCGAAATATGGAGCTCAACCAATTCATTTGGCGATTCTTACATGCATGGACGGGGATTGTGAAGCAATTCGTCTTTTGCTGGAAGCTGGAGCTGATCCCAACGCTGAATTTACATTTGAAATGATTTCAGTACTCATTACAAATTATTCCTGGCCAGATGAGTTTGGTGATAAATTATCATTTGCGTCATATGCTGCCGTGGAGGACAAGGCAGAGTTGTTTGAATTACTTACTGATTATGGAGCCGACATTACTGTGAGAACCAGCGATAATAAAACTTTGTTGATGGTAGCTTTAGAGAAGGAAAATTACAGAACATCAGTGGCCATTGTCGATAAATTTTTAAATAGCTGTCCAGAATTAATCAATGCTCGTGATAATCACGGTAAAAATGTATTCGACTATGTATTTAATGATGGGCTCTGTCTAAAATATCGTTATAGTGGCCAGCAATTTAATTATCTAAATGAGATTGTTACCAAATTATATTTTTATTATTCAAAAAATGATTATGATGAAAGGATGAACAACGACGTGTATACGCAACTGTGTAATACTGCTGCTTACAGAGGTGTCTCTCAGTTAGTTTCAACTTTGTTACGCTATAATCCCTCACGTACTGGATCCAAAGCTTTGTCTAATGCCTTGCTTCCAATTAAGGATACTGATAATTTGGTTTATTGGTATTCGTTTTATCCAAACGTAGAGGTAGAAGCTATTAAATTAGAGACGGAAAGAAGAAAAGTAAACACCGTTGATTGCATATTGTGGGATTTGAGGATAAGACGAGAGTTTAGGTTGTTTGTGTCTAAAGAAGAAATATTTAAGATGGATGAATTAATTTCATCGTCTTCTGACTATAGGAAAAAGATTCAAGACTTTGAATGTGAAGTTATTCATGGGTTGTTGAAAGAAACTGTTTTTCAATATGGAAAAAAAAGAGAAACTTTGTATAATTTAGCTGCGAAGATTTTTAATGATAGAACTGTTAAACCGTTTGCGAAAAATAATAAACTTATCGAGTGTCTCAATAAGTATCGACCTGAAGATGACACTTTACAAATTATTGTTGATCAGATGAAAATACGACTTGATTCAGTTAGGAAAAGAATTCGATTGTTAGAAGAATTTAAAAAACTTAGTAAAATTAATTGCATAATTCCTCTTCCCTATGAAATTATATTGGATATTTATGAATATTTGAGTAATTATGAATTGAGAAATTTTATTGATTGTGTTCAAAATATCTAATTATTTTCATATTATTAGCAATTTGATCATGAAATGGTGATAAATTTGTGTAATTATTTAGTTTAATTGTTTTAATAGTTTTTTTAGTTGTCTAGAATTACGTAGGGTAAATGCACCAATTATTGACCGATTAAGGTTTTCTTTTTCTGTACTAAACTATAAAAAATCTAGTAACTTACTAAAACCAATTTATAATGGATTTTATTAAAGTTAAATACTTAATTAATAATAATTAATAACTATTTATAATGAAAATTAACAAAGTTATATTAATTTTGTTATTTGAATATTGAAATACTAAAATCACCAATTATTGACCGAAGAAACCCAATAAATGACCGACCGTTCTCCAATTAATTGACCGCTCAAATAATTATAAGTAATTTTGTAAACTACATGTATGTAATTAAATTTATCCAGTACTTTTGAAGTATTAACGACATCTTTAACAAAACTAAACATACAATATAATTTTAAATTGTACTTTTTTATAAAATAATATAAATAATAGCAATAATTAACATAAAGTCACATTTCTTTAGGTCACAAATAATCACAAATTCATTTTGATGACGATAATTCTTCTGATTCACTTGGAATTTTTTTATTTTTCTCCTTCTTTTTTTCAATTAAAGCTTTTTTACTAGCTTGTAACTCTTTTTTATTTTTTTAATTGCTTAGCAATTTTTTCTTCTAATAATTCGTTCTTTGATATTACCGTTCACTAAAAAAATTACAACAAAATAAAATTTAATAATCAAAAAAGATTTTAAGTATTATTTTAATTGTAAATATACATTTTATAATGATTATTTTTATATTTACAAAATATTGAATGACTAAAGTACTTTAAACACTTGACAGATTTAATTTTGAGCTTAAGAAGTTAGTATTATAAATATACGCGGTCATTTAATGAATTGTGATAGAATCAGAGGGTCTAATAAATGACCGAATGAATTTTTTACTGGGTAAAGGGCTTCTGACGGATCCAATAGTTGGCCGGTCTTAAAATAATATTAAAACTTATAATTTAACTTTATTTTTTCAAAAAAAGTTGGAATCTGATCTTTAATTAACATAATAAAACTAAAATATTTTATATTATGCCGATAAATATCACTAAATTAATGATGAAATGCACTTCACTCTCCAATTGTACGCTAGTTATTTTTGACCACTTTATGGCTGGTTGCATTGTAAACAAACTCAGAATATTTTTTTAAAGCTATAATCACTGCACAATTAATTGCGTAATTTTTTATTATGATGATTAAATGCCATATTTTTTTATTTTAATCCTTTAAGAAAAAAAAACCCTTGTAAAATATTAATTAATTAACTTTTTTATACATCGGTCAACTAATTGGTGACCGGTCAACAACTGGTGCATTTACCCTATATATTTTTCTACAATATTTATAAGTCGTCTTGTCATATTCTATAATTTTATAAGTTTACTAGTAAACTTGCGTAATTAATTCTAAAATTAATTAAAAAATAAATTTGTTAATAATAGTTAATTAACATAAAATAATTATTAACAACTAGTCATTGCTCGGGACCAGACACCGGCGCAGAGGCAGGAATATCTGGCCCTGAAGGAAGAGATGAAGCGGCGTACTTCAGCGGGTGAGAAGAATCTGCGGATAGCAACCAGAGGGACTCGACAGATTATTGTTCAGCATACCCGAACTTCGGTTATGGGCCTGAACAAAAATCATTAACTATCTATGAGAACATTCTGCTAGCGAACTATTCAGTATAGTGAAATTATTATTTTTTTTGTTTTTTTTTTAGTGATTTTTTAGATCTGTTTCTGAGAGTTTGAGTGATATTAGCTGTAAGGTCTTTAAAACTGGTGATGTTCATTACTAGTAGATTTATCGGGCACCAGGCCCGTATTACATAGTACAAGATTTGCGCTCTTAAATGACTGTTATAATTTGCTTTAATTTGAATTAAACAATCTTGTTACTAATTATCAGATAATTATTTACACCTGGTGCTGTCAAACTAACTTAGTGGCTGTATAACAGCATCACTTGGCCAAATATTAACTCAATGGTGTTAATTATGTGCAATTGCTACAAATTTTATAATTATTATTATTATTATTATTACTTTTTTTTCTTTTTAATTTTAGCAATTAATATTATTTTTTGTTATGGTTTGCAATTGCTAACACATCAATGGTTTACTCATTTAACAATCTATCTATTAAATTTATAATTAATATTGATAATATAGAATATTTATAATTAATGTAATTTTTTTTTTTTTAATTAATTTTTTAATTAATAGTAATACTAATATTATTATTGTATTAAATATGAAATCACTATGCTAGCTATAAGTCATCTTGTTATAAATCAAAAATTTTTCTTGTTTTTATATACTAACTGTTGTATTATTAACCCTGTTAATGGCCCCTGGGCTGTCGGGTTTGTTTATTTAAATAAAAAAAAAAAACATGTAATGTGTCTCTCTTGTGTATATATAATTCACTGTAATTACAATTATTTTTAGTGGCCCTACTAATGGCAAAAGCTATTGGGCCTAAGTGTAAATAAATAAATAAATCTGTTAACCCTGTTAATGGTGTAAGCTGTTTAGTTTGTTTCAATAAATTAAAATAAATAAATTTTTTAGATTTTCTGAATTAAGTATTTAAAAAATGTGATTGCTAATTTTACTGTCATTTAATAAATTTTTATGAAAATTAATTTAGCAGATATTTTATAATTTTAAGAATTATTTTAACAAATAAATTATGTCAAAGAAAATGAGAGAAAACAAAATTGACATTTAGAAAATTAAAAAAAATCCAATTTTTTAGAAATAACTTTACGGAGCAAATTTATTTATGAAAATTAATTTAGCATATATTTAATAATTTAAAAAATTTTATAGCAAATAAATGATGGCAAGAAAAAATTAGAAAAAAAAATTGACATGTAGAAAATTTAAAAAATAAAAAATGCAATTTTTTAAAAATAATTTTTCGAACAAATTTTTTTGATAAATAAAATTAAAAAATTGTTAAGTTATCTTTAATGATGAAAATTAAGTTAGCCGACATTTAAAAATTTTTAGAATTGTTTTTTTATTGAAAAAATGATTAAAAAAAAATAAAGAAAAATTTTCACTTGTAAAAAACTTTAAAAACTGTAAGTGCAATTTTTAAAAAATATTTTTTTGTTCTAATTTAATTATTGAAAAAAAATTAAAAAATTGTCGAGCGACTGTTAACTTTAATGTCATAATTTTCAAATGACAGAAAATAGAAACCGCGCATGCGCAACAAAAATAGCGTGTTTTAAATATAAAATAAAGATGGCCGCCTCCTTAGTGCTGTATTATTTTCACTTGCAAATCCCCTGAAAGATCTTCCAACACTCCACTGCTAATTAATTAAAAAAAAAACCATTAAAATAAATTAAAAATTGTAAATAACTAAAAAAAAGTATTCAATTAGCGCACAAGTTTCCTGAGTTCCGGTCTTCCAAGTGAAAAGTGACACGTATTACCAATTTTACAACTTTAAAAAAATAATACTTGTGAACATAAATATAAATAGTGACAAATCATATAAATTTTTAGGTCGAACAATAAATATATCTAAAGTTCGATGAGATTACTGCAGCGAATGTCAGTTGTTAAGAATTCACTTACTGCAGCAGGATGAGGTTAGAAGAGATGCCACTGAGAATGACAACAGAGGACCGGGAGCGGGATTTCGAGATGGATGACGAGACCGACTATCTCATCCAGCCGGACGATAATTTTCGCCCGATTATTAAACGGAACCGCCGGTTGAACGCCTGTGGACATTTTATCAAGTGTCTTTTTTGTGGGTCAGTATTTTGACGTTTATTTAATTATTATTTTGATTATTTTGCATTAAAATTAAAGTTTCGCGCCCTCTGACGTGAAAGATATCGATACTGTCATCTCGATTAATTTTTTTACGATAATTGATAAATAATTAAATAAATAATCTGTGAAATTAATTTGCAATGTTTAAAAATTTTTTTAAATTTTAATAAATTACTGCAAAAAAAAATTTGACTTAAAATTAATAAAAAATAAAAGCAGTTTTTTTTAAATAATTTTTATTGATAAATAATTAAATTATCTATGAAAATTAATTAGCAGATGTTTGATGAAAAAATAATTTTTTTTTAAATAAATTACTGCAAAAAAAAATTTGACTTAAAATTAATAAAAAATAAAAGCAGTTTTTTTTAAATAATTTTTATTGATAAATAATTAAATTATCTATGAAAATTAATTAGCAGATGTTTGATGAAAAAATAATTTTTTTTTAAATAAATTACTGCAAAAAAAAATTTGACTTAAAATTAATAAAAAATAAAAGCAGTTTTTTTTAAATAATTTTTATTGATAAATAATTAAATTATCTATGAAAATTAATTAGCAGATGTTTGATGAAAAAATAATTTTTTTTTAAATAAATTACTGCAAAAAAAAATTTGACATGTAAAAATAAAAAAAAATTAAAAATTCAGAATTTAGAAAATAATTTTTTGAAAAAAATGCTAAAATTAATGTCATTAATTTTTTTATTTATTGAGTGAATTTTTTTGAATAATTTTAAGAGTAAAAAATTATTTTTTATAAAAAAAATAAATATTTTAATTAAAAGTGAAATTTTTTACATCAATTTATTTTACAATAAAAAATTTGACAGGTGTCAGCTGATTTTTCAATTTAATAAATTATCTGAAAATTAATTTGATATTTAATAAATTTTAGAATTTTTTTAAGATATAAATTAGTGCAAAAAAAATTAGAGATAAAAAATTAACATGTAGAAATTTCAAAAAATTAAAAAATGCAATTTTTTAAAAACAATTTTTCGAAAGAAATGTTTTTGATAAATAAAATTAAAAAATTGTCAAGTGACTGATAACTTTAATGTCGTTACATTACTGCAAAAAAAATTTGACATGTAAAAATTAAAAAAAATTGCAAATGTAGTTTTTTAAAAATAATTTTTTGAAATAAATTTTAACTTTAATGTCATTAATTTTTTTAATTCATTGAGTGAATTTTTTTTAATAATTCTAAAATTATAAAATTGTTTTAAAAAAAAAAAATACAAACTTTTATTATAAATGCAATTTTTAAAAAATTTTTTTACATCAATTTATTTGGCAATAAAAAATTTGACAGGTGTCTGCTGATTTTTCAATTTAATAAATTATTTTAAAATTAATTTGCAGATGTTTGATAATTAAAAAAAATTTTTTTTTTTAATAAATTACTATGAAAATTGAAATAGCAGATATTTAATAAATTTTAGAATTTTTTTAAGAAATAATTTAGTGCAAAAAAATTAGAAATAAAAAATTAACATATAGAAATTTCAAAAAATGAAAAATGCAATTTTTTGAAAATAATTCTTTGGAAGAAATTTTTTTGTTAAATAAAATTAAAAAATAAGCGACTGATAACTTTAATGTCGTTAAATTTCTACAAAAAAAATTTGACTTGTAAAAATTGAATAAAAATAAAAATGCAGTTTTTTAAATATAATTTTTTGAAAAAAATTCTGACTTTAATGTCATTAATTTTTTATTTTTAATAATTCTAAAAGTAAAAAATTATTTTTTATAAAAATTTTAATTAAAAGTTGAATTTTTTTGCATCAATTTATTTTGCAATAAAAAATTTGACAGATGTCAGCTGATTTTTCAATTGTATAAATAATTTAATAAATCGAGTATTAAAGTATCGATATAAGCATGACGCACTTTGAAAAGTAAAAACACAGTGTATGTCACGGATGCTATACTAAAATTATTGTTACTATGTATGTCAGTCTCAGCCAGTATCAATTGTTAATAAATGACTAATTCTCTTGTTCTACTACTTTATCTATTTTTAATACTTCAATTGTCTGTTTAACGTTTATTATTGGCGTTATTATCAATTTAATTAGGCTTATCGCGGTCTATAATCATAATAGTAGTAATGTAAGTGGTTGGAAACATAACAAGAAATAAATTAATAAGTAAATTAAGAATGGAAAATCAAAGTAACGTTATCAGAACGTCCAAGGAAGACATTCCTTTGATAACAAAACCACGAAATGCCGGATCGTGGGCAAGGTGATTTATTTTATTTGTTAATTTTTTCAAGCCTCTATTTTTTTTATTAAAAATTTTATGTGAATTTTTAATAAGTATTAAATGTATAATTGTAAAATAGACAACAAATAATTTTTTTAATATTTTTTATACACTGATTTTCAATAGTTAAAAAAATCAATTGCTACAAAAAAGATCTTTTATTTTAAATAATTAGAAATTTTATTTAAAACAATTTATCTATTTAAAAATTTATATAAATTTTTAAATGTCTATTATTTTATAATTGTAAGCCAGTAGTTTGAAAATTTACTGATTATTGGTTTGCAGATGCTGTACATGGATGTGGAGAAGATGTCGGCGGGAACGAGAGTACAAGTCAAGGACAATCCACCTCGGAATGCCTATGACGGAGAAATTTCCTACAAATGTTATCAGAAATCAAAAATATAACATCATTACTTTTTTACCACTAGTAAGCTTGTTAACTTTTAATAATTTATACAAAAACAATTTAGAGAATAAGGAAAATTTTGTAACGGGGATATATTTATTAAAAAATAGGTTTCTATATAGTTATATTTGGTATCAGAAAGTTAATAACTTAATCTAATGTCTTTTCACGGTTTGATATTTTTTTCAGCGACACTCAATTTATCATCTAAATAATTATGAAAGTAAACTAAATCTTATCACGGGTATATTTTTATTTGAAAAGGAATTTTTAAAGATTTATTTGGTACCATCAGAAAGGTCTTGATGTAAATTTGTGAATATTCAAATGAAAGGTCACGATGAGTGTAACATCGAAATGAGCTTATCTTTAAGAATGTTAATAATAAAGAAATGACTTTGTATCTTGTCAACTCTTGAGATTTTTAAAGATATTAGCTCATCCCGATGTTACACTCATCAAGACCTTTCATTTGAGTACCCACATGTATTTTCATATATTTTTCATATATAATATATAAATATATGAAAAATTGATGAGGGTACTCAAATGAAAGGTCTCGATGAGTGTAACATCGGGATGAGCTTATATGTTTAAACATGTCAATAGTTGACAAGATACAAGGTCATTTCTTAATTATTGATCATTTTAGAGATATAAGCTCATCCTGATGTTACACTTATCGAGACCTTTCATTTGAATACCCACATGGCATTTTTATATATTTTATATATATGGTATTTGTAAAATATATAAAATATATATGAAAATTTGATGTGGGTACTCAAATGAAAGGTCTTGATGAGTGTAACATCGGGATGAGCTTGTATCTTTAAAAATGTCAATAGTTCTCAAGATACAAGGTCATTACTTAATTATTGATATTTTTAAAGATATAAGCGCATCCTGATGTTACACTCATCGAGACCTTTCATTTGAATACCCACATGGCATTTTTTATATATTTAATATTTGTGAAATATATATATATAATATATAAAATATATGAAAATTTAATGTGGGTACTCAAATGAAAGGTCTCAATGAGTGTAACATCGGGATGAGTTTATATCTTTAAAAATGTCAATAGTTCTCAAGATACAAGGTCATTTCTTAATTATGTATCTAGAGATGGAGAATTTTCAGCCTAGTTATCATAATAAATTGACTATTCATGAGAATGATATAAAACCTTGAAAAAGCACAAATTCAAATCAAGACTTTTGCAATGACACTAAATTTCACTAAAAAATCCATTTTATCATATAACTATCCTGGACATAAAATTTTTCTTATCCTTTTAATAATGTAGATAAATTAATTATTAATTTTTATAAACTAAATTAATTACTAAAATATTAATATTAATTAATTTTTTCCAGGTATTATTCCAACAATTCAAATTCTTCTTAAACCTGTACTTTCTAATAATGGCAAGCTCGCAGTTCATCCCAGAAATAAGAATCGGTTATCTGTACACCTACTGGGGGCCACTGTGCTTTGTCTTATCAGTAACAATCTGCCGAGAGGCAGTGGACGACTACCGTCGCTACAAAAGAGACAAAGAGATAAACAACCAGAAGTACCAGCGCCTGCTCCGAGGCACAGACCAGCCGGAACTGGTGCCGAGCTCCAAGCTGAAGGTCGGGGACATGATAGTAGTTGAGAAAGGCCAGAGAGTACCAGCAGACTTGGTGCTGCTTCGAACCACGGAGAAGTCCGGAGCTTGTTTCGTGAGAACAGACCAACTGGACGGAGAGACCGACTGGAAGTTGCGGCTGGCGGTGCCTCAGACCCAGAAGCTGGACCATGACGGCCAATTGTTCGACATCAAAGCCAGCCTTTATGTGGAGAAACCTCAGAAGGACATCCACGGGTTCATCGGGACGTTCACCCGCGAGGACGAAGGCACTAATGAAGAGAGTCTCGGGGTGGACAACACCCTCTGGGCCAACACAGCTGTAGCTTCCGGCTCAGCTCTAGGAATTGTTGTCTACACTGGACAGGAGACCCGGTCGCTGATGAATCATTCGGCGCCCAGGTCCAAGATCGGGCTGCTGGACAGAGAAATCAACCAGCTGACCAAGGTCCTCTTTTGCGCGGTGATTGGTCTTGCTTTGGTGATGATGTGCCTCAAGGGATTCGGTGGGCCTTGGTACTGCTACATGTTCCGGTTTGTCCTGCTCTTCTCTTATATTATCCCCATCAGCTTGCGCATCAACCTAGACATGGGGAAGACTTTCTATGCCTGGACTATCCAGCGGGATAAAGAGATTGCCGGGACTGTGGTGAGGACCACGACTATTCCTGAAGAACTAGGAAGGATTTCTTATTTGCTGAGTGACAAGACTGGAACTTTGACGCAGAACAAAATGGTTTTTAAGAAACTACACCTGGGAACTGCTTCCTATGGTCAGGAGACTTTTGATGAGATCACTAGTGTGCTAAAGAATTATTATCCGGTGGGTGGAGAAAATTCACCCTCCAAGACGACCTTGAATCGCGGGAAGGTTAGGAGGAGTGAGAGCACTAGGATTTATGAAGCTGTTCATGCGCTAGCGCTTTGTCATAATGTTACGCCGGTTTATGATGATGTTAATAAACAGGTTAGTTGGTAGTTTTCATTTATTATGAGAAAATTATTTATTTATTTTTAAAATAATTTATTAATTATTAATAATTATTCACAAGTGCGGTCAACTTCATATTGCCCTATGTTTCGCCATAGAAAAAATTTTTTTTTTCATCAAACTGATCAATTTTTTTTTTTAATTGTTATGGTCCAAATCAGGGTTGACCCCATTTGTAAATAATTATCCTTTTTTTTTTTTTATAGAAAATTAAATGTTGATTGAGCGAAAAATTGCTTAATTAATTTATTTGTCATTTTTAGAGTTTTAGTTGATTATTATTGATAATTGAGATTCGAGACCAAAAAATTTTATTATTTTAATTAGAATTGATTTTTTTTACGTAAAGTAATTAGAATATAATTGCTTAATTCTCTGACACTGATAGAAAAATAACTTCATTACAGTAGAACATTTTTTAACCAAAAAAATCATTTTGAATTGAGTAAAAAAATTATTTAAAGAATTTTTGTTAATTTTATTTAAAAAAAAATAGTTTTATTTAAAAAAAAAATAGTGATGAAAAAAATAATAGGGTAAATAATGCACCAATTATTGACCGATTAAGGTTTTCTTTTTCTGTACTAAACTATAAAAAATCTAGTAACTTACTAAAACCAATTGATAATGGATTTTATTAAAGTTAAATACTTAATTAATAATAATTAATAACTATTTATAATAAAAATTAACAAAATTATATTAATTTTGTTATTTGAATCTTGAAATACTAAAATCACCAATTATTGACCGAAGAAACCCAATAAATGACCGACCGTTCTCCAATTAATTCACCGCTCAAATAATTATAAGTAATTTTGTAAACTACATGTATATAATTAAATATATGCAGTACTTTTGAAGTATTAACGACATCTTTAACAAAACTAAACATACAATATAATTTTAAACCGTACTTTTTTATAAAATAATATAAATAATAGCAATAATTAACATAAAGCCACAAATAATCACAAATTCATTTTAATGACGATAATTCTTCTGATTAACTTAAAATTTTTTTATTCTTCTCCTTCTTTCTTTCAATTAAAGCTTTTTTACTAGCTTGTAACTCGTTTTTATTTTTTTAATTGCTTAGCAAATTTTTTCTTCTAATAATTCGTTCTCTGATATAACCGTTCACTAAAAAAATTAGAACAAAATAAAATTTAATAATCAAAAAAAATTTTAAGTATTATTTTAATTGTAAATATACATTTTATAATGATTATTCTTATATTTACAAAATATTGAATGACTAAAGTACTTTAAACACTTGACAAATTTAATTTTAAGGTTGAGAAGTTAGTATTATAAATATACGGCCATTAATTAGATTGTGATAAAATCAGAGAGTCTAATAAATGACCGAAAAACTCATTTTTTACAGAATTTAAAAATCAAAAAAATACTTTATTAATTTTTGTACAAAAATGATTAGTAGAAAATTTTATTAAAAAATCAGTGATTAGATAAAATTATTAATTATTTTTTCAAAATTACCAATTAAAAAAAAAAAACTAACTATTTTCTGGAAGAGCGAAAATATCTTGTATAAAGTTAAGAATTTTTTGAGCCAAGAAAATTTTCTAGACAAGAAAATTATTGATTTTCTCCAAAAAAACTTGTCTTCAAACAGACTTAAAAATTTTCTTGCACTGAGAAAAAAAAATACTTTTATTAAGAAAATATTCTTGATACAAGAATTCATGTTCTTGAAAATTTTAAAGAATATTTATTCTTAGCTCCAGAACTTGTTAAATTGGTTGAAATAATTTTTACTTCATCTAAATAAAGCTATTCTCTTGTTTATCTATTATCCAAAGATAAATATTATTAATAATAATAATAGAATATTTGATCGTCATCGAATTTCTTGAACCAAGAAATTGTTAATTGAATAAAAGTATTTTGTTTCTCAGTGTAGTACAACCCTTTTTTCTGTATAAATTTTCTAAAAGACAAAATCTTTCCAGCTGGACACCGTGAGCGTAGAAACAACAGAAACAGAAACCGGTTCAATCCAAAGCCAAACCGAGTCCGACCGTCATTACTACCCTGAACAGCAGCGTAACTACCAAGCCTCAAGCCCGGACGAAGTAGCCCTAGTCCGCTGGACGGAAGACATCGGCCTGACCCTATTCAGCCGCGACCGGACCTCAATGCAGTTAAAAGCGATCAACGGCCAAATCCTCTCCTTCACAATCCTGCAAGTTTTTCCCTTCACCTCCGAAACAAAGCGCATGGGAATAATCGTAAAAGACCTATCAACCTCCGAAATAATGTTCTACCTAAAAGGCGCAGACGTAGTGATGTCCGGAATAGTCCAGTACAACGACTGGATGGACGAAGAGTGCGGAAACATGGCTCGAGAGGGACTCAGAACTCTAGTCTTCGCCAAGAAGCACCTGACCGAGGACCAGTACCTAGATTTCGAAACTCGCTATAACGCAGCTAGATGCGCCATGAATGACAGACCAACCCGGGTGGCAGCAGTGATAGAGTCTCTAGAGCGTGAGATGGAGCTGATATGTGTTACTGGAGTGGAAGACCGGCTCCAGGAGCGAGTCCGCCCGACTCTGGAACTCCTCCGCAATGCTGGGATCAAAATCTGGATGCTTACTGGAGATAAACTTGAAACCGCGACTTGCATCGCTAAATCTTCCAGGCTGGTGTCCAGAAATCAAAGCTTGCACGTGTTTAAGTCTGTGGTTTCAAGGACTGATGCTCATCTTGAGCTGAACACCTTCCGCAAGAAGCAGGACTGCGCTCTAGTGATTGGTGGAGATTCCCTTGAAGTCTGTCTCCAATATTACCAGCAAGAATTCATGGAACTGGCTTGTGGGTCTCCAGCTGTCGTCTGCTGTCGCTGTTCTCCAACCCAAAAAGCAGATGTGGTGAAACTAATCCAGAGCCACACTCAGAAAAGAACTGCCGCGGTTGGAGACGGAGGGAATGATGTGTCAATGATCCAGGCTGCTGATGCAGGAATTGGGATTGAAGGTTTAGAAGGAAGGCAAGCTTCTCTAGCAGCGGATTTTTCTATTTCACAATTCAGCCACTTGTCGAATCTTCTAATAGTCCATGGAAGAAGAAGCTACAAGCGCTCTGCAGCGCTGAGCCAGTTTGTAATCCACCGGGGGTTAATTATTTCCACAATGCAAGCTGTTTTTTCGGCTGTGTTCTACCTCTCCAGTGTCGCCCTCTATCAGGGGTTCCTGATAGTAGGCTACGCAACGCTCTTCACCATGTTCCCTGTGTTCTCATTGGTGCTTGATAAAGACGTGAGTAGAGAGGTCGCTATTAGGTTCCCGGAACTGTACAAGGAACTGAGCAAAGGACGAAGTTTGTCCTACAAGACTTTCTTTATGTGGGTCTTGATTAGTATTTATCAGGGAGGTGTTATTATGTATGGAGCTTTGGTTATGTTTGAGGACGAGTTCATTCATATTGTCGCGATTAGTTTTTCTGCGTTAGTGCTAACGGAACTTATTATGGTGGCGCTGACCATCAGAACTTGGCATCATATTATGGTTCTAGCGGAGTTTTTGTCACTGGCGCTTTATTTATTGAGCTTGTTTGTTCTCAAGGACTTTGATAGTGATTTTATTACTACTACGGATTTTTTGTGGAAGGTTTTGGTTATCACCCTGGTTTCTTGCTTGCCGCTTTATATTTTGAAGTTCTTGAGGAAGAAATTCTCGCCGCCTAGTTATTCTAAGTTGTCGTGAATTTTCGGATGGAGAGTGTATATTGGAAGATTTGAGGGAAAATAGGCTGAAAAAGTTTTGGAGTTATGAAAAATTTACATAATTTTATTAAATTTATTATATAATAATGTTTAAGAGAATAAGAAAAATTTTGTTTCCAGGAGTCATATGATAAAATCAGTTTTTTTTTAGTTAAATTTAGTGTCATTGTAAAGGTCTTAACTTGAATTTCTGCCTTTTCAAGGTTTTATTCTTAAACTCTCTATCTCTAGATACATAATTAAGAAATAACCTTGTATCTTGAGAACTATTGACATTTTTAAAGATTTAAGCTCACCCCGACATTACACTCATTGAGACCTTTCATTTGAGTACCCACATCAATTTTTCATACATTTATATATTTTATATATATTTCATAAATATCAAATATATAAAATATATAAAAAATGCCATGTGGGTATTCAAATGAGAGCTCTCGATGAGTATAATATCAGGATGAGCTTGTATCTTAAAAAATGTCAATAATTAAGAAATGATCTTGTATCTTGTCAACTATTGACATTTTTAAAGATATAAGCTCATCCCGATGTTAAACTCATCAAGACCTTTCATTAGAGTACCCACATCAATTTTTCATATATTTATATATTTCACAAATACCATATATATAAAATATATAAAAAAAGCCGTGTAGGTATTCAAATGAAAGGTCTCCATGATTGTAACATCAAAATGAGCTTATATCCTTAAAAATGTCAATAATTAAAAAATGACCTTGTATCTTGAGAATTATTGACATTTTTAAAGATATAAGCTCATCCTGAT